GCTTGCCAGGCAGGCGCTTTGCCGCTGAGCTAAATCCCCAGCCCTACTTTTAGGAACTTACTACACAGAAATAAATGTACAATCATGCAAAGATAAATACACACGCACAGAATATTTCCTGAAGTAAGATTTTCTTTTGGTGGGAGGCTACTGAGGATTGAACCTAAAGCCTCTGCACTGAGCTAAACCTCCAGTCCTTTTTATTTTTTGAGGTCTCACTAGGTTACTAAACTGCCTAGGCTAGACTTAAACTTGCAACCTTCTACCTCAGTTTCCCAAAAAGCTCAGATTATAGATATGTGCCATTAGGGGCTGGGGATTTAGCTGAGCGGCACAGTGCCTGCCTAGCAAGCGCAAGGTCGTGAGTTTGGTTCCTGGTACTGGAAAAAAAACAAAAAAACCCCAACCAAATATAGATATGTGCCACTGTGTCCAGCTTCCTGAAGTAAATTTTTTTTTGGTTTTTTTCCTCGGTACCGGGAATTGAACTCACAACCTTGTGCTTGCCAGGCAGGCGCTGTGCCGCTGAGCTAAATCCCCAGCCCCACAAATTTTATATTAACAAACACTACTCCACTCTGGAGAAAGTATCCTTAGTTAGTTCTGATTGAAACTCTGGGTCCCTGAAAATGAAAGGGATACCTGTTTCTGGGTCTTTTGTCTGTTACATTAATGGGAAATTATTTTTCTTTTTCTTTTTTTTTTTTTTGTCTTTTTGAGACAGGGTCTTGCTACACAGTTCAGGCTGGCCTTGAACTCACAACAATCCTCCTGCCTCAGTCACCAAGTGCTGGGATTACAGGCATGCACCACCATGTCTGGCAATAGGAAATTATTAAACAAAAATAGCAGTATATTTATATAATAACATACTAGGGGTGTAGCTCAGTGGTAGATCCATACTCAGTCCCATCCCCGATCCCCTTTGGTGCACACAGAAGAGTACTAGCCATAAACATAATACAAGTCAAGATAGACTAACATGAAAAGATGGCAGATACATCATTAATTTGAGGAAAAAATTACAATATGTATGACAGTTTTTGAAAACTACACATATATGTACATACACACAAATTTCTAGCATTTGCACAGATTTAAATGCCCTAGAATCACGTTCCCCAAACAATTTTAGGAACAGGATTATAGTAATTATTTCATTATAGTGATTATTTCATTTTCTCTGGTGCGTAATTCTACTAACTTTGACCCTTGAATACTGTTATCTTTCATTCATGTTATTTATAGATAAATCTTAAGTGAAAAAAATGTAGTTAGCTCTTACCAATTACACAGCATGTTTCTACACGATATTTATCAATTTCACAGAGGTTATGAGCCAGATAACTCAACTCAGATTTCATGCTCTGGGAAAAAAGAGAAAGATGATCTAAGCATGACAAGGGATTCCCTAAATTATTTTTCTCATTGTTAATGCAAATGGTTAACAACCTAATACAGCAGATTAAAGCACAAAAGAGCTTAATCATGCCCAAAGAAGAGAAGCGGCTTACCCTGACATAAAGGAGGTTGGAGAATGTGTCCATATTTTCAATCCTGTAAGGATCTTGTTTCCTCAGCTCATTAAAAATGGAGAGGGCTTTGTCGATATCTGCAGAAAGAAGATAAGAGTTCAGAAAAAACACAGCACACCTCTCAGAGTCTGGTGGTATTTCATTGTCCTTATTCACTCACCTCTGATATTGTGATAGGCAACTGCAATTTGGGAAACAATATATGAGCTCTTAGAAAAGCCCACATCTATGAGATTCTGATACTTTTGCAGGGCCTCCTCTATCAGCTGCAACTCTGTGTATATATGAGCCAAGAAAAACTCTTTCATCCAGGTGTCTGGCAAAGACAGGAACTTCAGCTGGCAGCAGGAGAGAGAGGAACAAAACACAATATAATTTGATCTCTCTCCCAAATGAACATCAAGAACCATCTTTATTATTTAAACAGGATTTACTACTTAAAAATTTTTAGGGCACCTAATAACGATTACAAGGTAATCCAACTAAGTGAATATGACTTGCAAACACAAGTAGGGAGGAATGGTCTGAGGGGCTGGGAATTTAGCTCAGCGGCACAGCACCTGCATGGCAGGCACGAGGTTGTGAGTTCGATTCCTGGTACCAGAAAAAAAACCAAAAAAACAAAAGAATGGTCTGGTTAGGTTTGCTTCAAAGAAAAGACAGAATCTGAGGTAAGTCTTACAGAATGCGTAGGATTTAAATAGAGAAAGAGAAAGGAAGAGAAAAAGAATAGACACTTTCTAGGAAAGAGCAACAAAGTAAGTACAAGCAAAATAGACATATGAGTATGGTAGGATGGAGCAACAAGCTCAGTTTGAGAAAGTTATGTAGAAGGAAACAGTGGGGAAATAAGACTGCATTGGTCATGTGATGATATGCAACCAAAAATGGGGTACAGTAGGAAACTACTGTACATTTCTAACAGAATGGTTACATTGGTTTTTTGGGGGGGTTTTGGGGGGTTTTTTTGGTTCCGTTGTTTTAAGAATAACTTTGGGACAGCCGGGGATGGTGGCGCACGTCTGTAATCCCAGCACTCAGGAGGCTGAGGCAGGAAGATTGTTGCAAGTTCGAGACCAGCCTAGGCTACAAAGTGAGCTTAAGGCGAGCATGAACTGCATAGCGAGACCCTGTCTCAAAAAGATTAAAAAAAAAAAAAAAAAAAAAAGACTAAGTTTGGAAGCAATATGCTGGAGAGCTTGGAAATGAAAATGTAAAACTGGGAAAGCTAGACAGAAAGTATGTTTTAATTATAAGTAATTCAAATTTGATATGATGACTGAGATGACAGAGGGAACCAAAAGAAAGAGAGACATACAAGAAAAAACCATGGTGCTGTCTCATGGCTGACTAGATTAAGAAAGAGAAAGAGAAGAGACAAGTATGAGTTTGAGGTGTGAAAACTGATGACTGGAGAAATAGCAAAGGTAAGAATCTACCAAGAGGAGGAAAAGAACCAGAATTTAGGAGGCAAGCTGAGAAATTTGATACTGCATATTTTGAGTCCAGAGGTAAAATAAACTTTCAATGAAAGTCCAGTAGGCAATTAGAGATGGTGAATACAAGTTAATCCAAGACTTCAGGCACAGGTTTATAACATATATCAATCTGCCTTTGGCTCTACAGCCAAGAAGGGTGATGTTGTTTCCCATTAGCCACTAAACAGCAAAATGAACAGTAGACAAAGTCCTCTAATAGTGACTCATAAAAGGATGGCAGTTTATAAAGCAATTTCATATACACTATTCACAATTGAAAACTCTCCAAATCTCCAGAATTCATGATAGCTCAGAAAAATGTTCAATACAATCTGTAATATCAGAGAGAACTTCCTGTGGCATCTTTGGATAATGTAACAGCTATGACATTAACTGTATAAAACTTACAGTAAAATCTGAATAGGAAAACAGGATTATGAAAAATACTACAAATAGATGCAAATCCAACAGTAACTACTAAACAAGAGCTAGTTATCATCAAATGAAGATCCACATTCTTAAACAGTGAAAGGGAAAGAGCAAGATGTAACCAAAGATCACACTGGCAAAACTGGCCCCTCCCCCATTAAATGATTACACAAATACATAAGGTTTCCAACAGAGGATTTTCACATAGGTCATCTCAATTTACCATCTCTTTGTCAGTGATCAGGTTACAGAGTTCTAACCAGGCTCCCCAGTGCAAAGGCAAAACATGAGTAGCTTCCACAAACACATCAATGGCCTCTTTCACCAAGTCCAGTTTTCGAAGAACCACACCATACCTAGAAAAAAGGAAATAATCACAGGAGAGGTTATTGCTTTGCAATACCTTTCTACTGAAAAAAACATTTTATAGAAAGTCCTAAACTATGCCAGACATGGTACCCCATGTCTGCATTCTCAGCACTTTGGAAGGCTGAGGCAGGAGAATTTTAAGTTCAAGTCCAGCCTGGGAGTTTAATGAGAGACCCTATCTCAAAATAAAAAAAATTTTTAAAGGCCTGGGGATACAGCTCAGTGAGAAGGTATTGAGTTCCATCACCAGTACTACAAAAGAGAGAGAGAAGGAGACTTTCTACAGTATAGTCAGGTATAGATCACAAATTCAAGCCTAGCTTAGGCAACTTAGGGAGATTTTGCCTCAAAATTAAAGAAAAAAGAGGTGGGGCCCAGCTGGAGATGTAGTTCAGTGCCCTGGATTTAATCCCCAGTACTAAATGTATGTTTTAAATTACTATAACACTTACAGATAAAGGCCAAATCCATCAAGTTCCCGAGCTTGATGTTTTTTGCTGAGTTCCACTCTTAATTCTCTAAGGGCTTCATTTTTCACTTGTCCTTTCTCCAAAGGACCTAGGAAAGAAACAGTCTTTGATCTAACAAAAGGATGCTTATTTTTACTTTCATAGATGTATCTATTCCCTTTGGCATCAACCCTAGCGTTATACTTGAAACCTCCAGCAAATATAAGTGGCCAATGATATCTCTCACAATCCATTTATTTTACTTCAGAAATTACAACAATCTACAGTCTGTTTCATAAAGCCTACAACACAGTTGTTTTTAAAATTTTTTGTTTTTAAACTTTGAATCAGTTATCAATGTTTAAAAATTAGAAGCCTCAATTAAAAATCTGAATTTTCAGCTCAGCATGCAGGAACCAGGGCATGGGCAAGGGAAGAAACCCTAACAGCACCAGGTCCAGATGCTCACGAGGCAGCTTCAGTTATAGCGGGGTGGGAACCAGGCAGCTAGCAGAAGTCAGGTCCTCCTCAATTTGCAACAATGCTCCTCAATCCATTTAAACTACCTGCCTAATCCCACATACATTTAAGCCCACAGCTTTGCATTTTAGGCTAAAAGATAAGGAAAAAAACTCATACCTAGGCTATCAACTGTTTCATCATCCTTCTTTTTCTCTCCAGACTGTAAGAGAAAAATCAACAAATAGGTTTTTTCCCATGTTATTTTAAAAATACATACTAAAACTAGCAGTCTAATTCTACCTAAAGGGCCCATGTCCAATCAAAATGCCATCTACTTTGGGTCACTAATTTTAAACCATCATTCATGGATTCCACTGGCTAAATCCAGGATGATTTGAACATAAAAGCAATCATGAATGTAATAATTTTTTTTGGAGATACTAAGGATTGAACCCAGAGCCTTCCCACTGAGCTAAATCCCAGGCCTTAGTGACTTAGCAAGATCCTGTCTGAAAATTAAAAAAGGGCTGAGGAAGTAGCTCAGTGGGAAGGCTTTGGGTTCAAGTCTCAGTACCATTAAAAAATTAATTCAGAGGAAAATTTTTATAAAGTCCAGAATATTTACATGGACTTAAAGTATATCCACATCGATTGCTAATTAGCTACAAATAAAACAATAGTAATGATACAGTATAGAAAATGGAAACCATCTTGGCCAAATAATCAAAATAAACATCAGCGGACCAGGGATATAGCCCAGTGACACAAGCGCCTGCCTGGCAAGCACAAGGTCCTGAGTTTGATTCCTGGTACAAAAAAAAAAAAAAATTAACATCAATAATGAGAGGATTGAGGCTAGCAGGTGTCACCAGAGGCAATGCCCTACGTGTAAACCGGGGTGCACTCTACTCACGTACTATTCTGACCAGGTTATGTATAACCAGGAAAAAAAAAAACTGAAGAAACATCAGACATTAAAATGAACATTCTATTTGAAAAAAAGGAACACGGGGTCAGGTAGACTAGCAGCTGCTTAGGAGGCTGAAGGAGGAGGATCACAAATTTGAGGCCAGCCCGGGCACATGAAAAATCCTAGTCTCAAAATAAGAAATGAAAAGGGGCTGGGCGTGGCTGAGGCAGGAGGCTTGGTGCGACTTGGTGGCCAGCCTGGGCTACATAGTGAGTTCAAGGCCAGCCTGGACTGCATAATGAAATCCTGTCTCAAAAGACAAAAAAAAAAAAAGAAAGAAAAAAATGCAAAAGGCTGGGGTGTAGCTCAGTGCTCCCTAGGCTTTGTCGCCAGTGCTACTAAAAAAGAGAAAAGAGAGGAGAAAATAAAAAAAGTCAAAGCTCAAAATCTTGTCATGTGTATAAAAATAAAAAAGATCCCAAATAAAAAAAAGTCAAAGCCCACCGAATGTACAACACAAAGACTGAACCTTAACTGTGGATTTCTGTTGCTAATGATGTGTCAATATCAAGTCAGTGACTGTAACAAATACACCACTGGTGCAGGATGCTTGTGGGGGCTGGGGGTATGAAGACTTGTACTTTCTGCTCAATTTTGCTGAGCTTAAAACTGCTCTAAAAAATGTTCTATTCTGGGGCTGGAGATTTAGCTCAGTGGCACAGCGCCTGCCTGGCAAGCGCCAGGTCGTGAGTTCGATTCCTGGTACCAGGAAAAAAAAACAAACAAAAGAAAAAAAAAAAAAAGGTCTATGCTAAGCCAGACATGGTGGCGCACACCTGTAATCCTAGTACTCGGGAGGCTGAGACAGGAAAATTGTTGTGAGTTGGAGATCAGCCTGTGCTACAAAGTGAGCTCAAGGCCAGCTCAAGGCACAGCAAGACCCTGTCTCAAAGGAAAAAGGTGAGTTAGCAGGGTACAGGAGGAAAAAGATGAGTTAGCAGGGCACAGTGGCCCATGCCTATAACCCCAGCCCTCAGCAGGCCATGGCAGGAGGGTCATTTTGAGTTCAAGGCCAGACAGGGCTATAGCCAGTTTGAGACCAATCTGGGCTATATAGTGTAATTCTGCCTCAAAAAAAGGAAAGAAAAAAGGAAAACAAAAAATTAAATGTAGCCCATGACCACAAGAAGTTACAGTACTTGACAATTATAAACTAGAGGAAAGCTGAGCTTGGAAGTGAGGAATCTATAAAATACTTTAAAAATCTATTTACACATACTATAACTAAGAAGCCAGGCATGGTGGTACACACCTGTAATTCTAGCAGTCAGGAGGCTGAGGCAGGATTGCTGCCAAGTCTGAGCCCAGCCAGAGCTACATAGTGAGTTCAAGGTCAGCCTGAACTACAAAGACCCAGTCTCAAAAAAAAATCTAAATAAATAAGAAAAAGTAGAAAAATACATTCATAATGTTCAAAAGTAAAATAATACACTATACTTAAATTATTATTCACTATAATTTTACTTGCATTGCCATATACATATATATGTATATATATGTGTGTGTATGTATGTGTAC